AAACCTTGCTTAGGGTTTCATGTCTTATCTTTCCTCCTTTATTTTCTTGAGTTACTACACACATACTGGAGAAGGAGAAAAGATGGCGTGCCAAGCTATGGGGGGGAGAGAGGTTTGTGTGAGAGAAAATACGGGAGAGATAAAGGTTGGCATGAGAGAGTGGCGCCTTCCCTTCTTTTTTGAGTCAGTGAAAAATAGAGAGGGAGAAAATTGTGTTGTGTGTGTGAGAGAGAGAGATCTTAGGGCATGAGAGAGAAGTTTTGTTGTAATGAGAGAAGGGGCTCAAATCTTGTTTAAATAGAAACAAGAGCTATGTCCTACTTTGAATAGTATTCTAATTTTGATAAGGGCAAATATCTCCATACCTTTTATTTTTAGGTTTCATTTCACAGTAGACCCAAAGTTTTAAAAGATATCTTGGGGCATAAAAATTATAGATTTTATTTCTTTAAACCTCCTAAGCTAATTTAAACATGTTTTTTTAGGCCAAACAAATTTAAAAAGACAATCCTTTTCTAAAAAGCCATCCTCCCAAACTTCTCTCTCTCTCTCTCTCGCCCCGCATCCCTTCTCTCTCTCGTCGTTAACAGTCATGGAAATGAGAGCCCACGATATTGCATGAAATGGCAATCCCCATGACTCTTCACTCTTCTCGAGACCCTTCTTCTTCTTGCAAATTTCCGTTTTTTCTCAACCCGTTTCCGCTTCTCTATCTGAGCTCTTTTGGCTCTTCTTTGCCTCCTTTTTTAACAGTGGCTTTAATGGTAATTCAAGCTCTACTAAATAGCAGTTTCCTTTATTGCTATAGCAGTTCCCGCATTTTACATGAGCATTCTCCTATTTAGGGTTTGATAGGATTTTAGGTTTCAGTTGATGCTGGTTGATGGCGATTCTCCGATCTGATTGTGTGAAAATTTCCTTTTTGGGGTATCTATGGTGAATGTTAGGGTGTAGGTTTGGATAAGGGTTCAAGATCTAGATATATGTGTCTCCTCCATGTAATTCCTTTTGTATTGATCTTTATTTGTAATTGAAAGTTACTATTTCGATTTTTGCTCTTTTTGATTGGATTTAACGCATTTGGAAATTATTTGTGTAGATCAACGCTAATTTGAGTTCCTGTTCAGTTGTTTAGCTTTCTTCAGGGGTTTATGAAGGGATTTAGGTTTCAGTAACTGGTTTGACGCTTGGCTTTCATAAACTTATCTTTTTTCTTGAACTTTCAGAGATATGTATTCATTGTTCTCACAATCAGTTCTTCTAGGATTTGGGGTTAGGGCTACAAAAGCAAGTAATTCTTGAGGTTTTTGAATGCATTCCAAATCAGCTGTGGTCTCCTTCTTGTGCAGCTTTCATTGTTCTGTAATTCTGGTTAGTATCATTTTTGTTCTTATTTTCCTCAGAAATTGGGTTTGGATTGAAGGACAACGAGTTCTCTAGGATTTTGGATGGGTTCCAGTTTCTCTGTATTCTGCCTTCTTCACTCTGCAATTGCAGTAACTTGTGGAGCTCTGATGTTGTTTTACTTGTATGAGATCTCTGTATTTGGTTATGGAAGTGAGACTGCGAGCAAGCTTCTTGGATCTACTCCACATGACAACTCTTGAGTCAAACTGCCGAATCCTTTTCTGGATTGCTTCTTTTTGGAATTGGATTCGTCTTGTTTATGGTTTCATTTGTCAAGGATAGGGAATTTCAGAGCTTCTTTGCAAAGGGGTGCATATTATTACATGCTTTAATGGCTTTCTGGAGAGTTTACTTTGAGAGGAGGCTTGAAGGTTTGGCTAGAGATTGGTCAAGGCAGGTTGTTGGGGACTTGATCTTAGGTGTCTCTTGGGTTCTCATCCTGGATCCTGACCAGTAGAGAGAGAGAGAGAGAGAGAGAGAGAGAGAGAGATGGGGAAGAGGGAGAATGGGAGAACCAAGATGGGGAAGAGGGTTCGCCGGTTTTTGGCATTTGCAAGGGTTTTGGCCATGGCCATGGCCTCCTTTAGAGAGAGAGAAGGGCTTCATGAAGGTGAGAGGTTATTGAGAGGAGAGAGGTGTTTGCAGAAATACGGGACGAGAGAGTGAGAGACACAGGAAGAGAGAGAAAGAGAGAAGTTTAGGGTATATAAGTGAAGAGAGAGAAAGGATTGGGTTTAGAAAGAGCATGTCTTTCTCACATTTGTTTAGGTTAAAACATAGGTTTAAAGTGGCCAAGGGGTTAGACGATATCTTTTGAAACCTTGGGTTTATCAATAAATAAAACTTAAAAATAGGGGATAAGGAGATATCTTCCGTTTGGATAATGCCTTATCTAATTTCTAGCTTAACCTTTTAGGATAATTAGAAAATCTATGGGGTGAGAGAGATTTAATCAGAACCATCCATCCCACAAATCAGCCATCATGATTTTGGGTGGAAAATAGGAACTTTATCTCCTTAAAATTTGACACATATCCAACTCCTATTTGAATTTAAAATATAAAAAATCTTATTATTCTTTAGATCTTCCATAATCTTTTGAAAATCAAGGCTATTCTATATTTAAAACTCCCAATAGAATAAGAAACAAAATCTTATTTAAAAATTAAAATATTTTCTATCTTTAACTGATTTTATTATTCTTAACAAATTTAAGAGAGTGGGGCTTGCCCCCCATTTGCTAAAAATTTGGTGCGCCGCTCGACATAAAATTTGCACACACACATGTGGGACTGGAACCTTGGTCCCACATAGGTCATCTTAAGTTCTAAAACTTTTTGAACTGCCCTTTTAATCAATATTTAGCAGAAGTAATATTTTAAAATTAAAAAAAAAAAATAAAAATCATAAAAATATATCTAATGCCAAAATAAATTATACTATGAGTGGATTGGTACCAATGGGTAAAAATAATGAGAATAAGGGCACTCCACTTGCCCTAAGGACCATAATCCACGGTTGTTTTTTTATCCAACCCAACAGAGACCTATGACCCACAGTCTCAAAGCAGGGGCTCTTGATTGACTTGTCAAAATTGGACGATAAGTAGTGGGACTGTAGTCCTGGATTGTGGATTTCACGTCCCCCTAACACTAGTTACCACAGTGCAAAGGGGACTCTCTCTCTATGCACATGTACGCTTGTCCCTCTAAGGGGCTGCTTCCCAGTAATGTGGCTGTCATGTATACATGCTGTGCAGAAGTTTGTTGAAGCATTGACTGTTGCTCTCACAGGTCTACAACCGCGCATAGGAGACCACACAGTTCTCCTGGCTTGCAAGCATCATCCTTGGGCATCCCGACTTCAATAACGATGACCCATTGTAAATCCTTCTCGATAGTGCCACATACCAAGTGGTAAGGGTTTTGGACATGACTAGGGCCATAAACTGTTGAACCCTTGGTCAGTCAACACATACACTCCCACTGAAGTGCATATTCCATTGTAAAATATCATATTTACAAGCTCTCTATGCTTTAAAGGCCACCAAATTCAACAAGGACTTCAGCCACAATTATGAAGATCAGGAGGGAAAGTGGATCTCCTTGCCTATGCCCTTAGGAACTTTTGGAAGAAGTGATTGGGAGAGCCATGAACAGGAATAGAAAAGGTTACCATTTGACACTCTTCTTTGATCCATGAAATCCACCTTGCTCGTGCCAAAATCCATTAAATGCGTTCTGATCTGCATAGTCAAAGGAATTTTCAAATTTGAGCTTTAAAACTCGTCACAGATTGCCTTCCCTATATCTTGGTTTAATTCACTCATTAGCCACCAATGCCCCGTCAAGAATTTGTCGTCCCCAAACATATGCACTTTGAGAGGTCGAGATTACAAAATCTAATATGCTTCTCAGCCTTGAGGCAAAGCCTTCACAAGTATCTTGCATACACTGCCTGCGAAGCTACTAAGGCCTGAAATCTTTTACATCTTCAGTGTCCTCCGGCTTAGCAAGAGTAATTAAAGTAGCACTTTCCTGGTCCATTGATGAGTTCCATAGCCAAACTATTTCTTCCATGCGAAGGGTGAAATCAGCAAATGAATAGAAACAAAACTTGTTTCAAGTTCGAAAAGCTTGCCTGTTGATTCAAAAAAAAAAAAAAAAAAAAAAACTTAGCTGAGTCGACTCATAACCCATTTAGTCGGCAAGTTTGTTTTATAAATAAAAGTATTGGAGTATGAGTTTTTTTCTTATCTATAAGTTCATATGTTCATTTGACAGGTAAATGGCTTCTTAAAACGTGCTACACTGTGGTATGACTTGGTTGATGAGCTGGTTTTGATTCCCATCCCTACTAGTTTGCTGTCTCAAATTTTCATACGAAAATGTGAAACTCTCAACTGCCTATGTTGGATCATTTGTTGCTCGACTTAAATAAATCTGTCACCTTATCATGATATATTAGCTGAAATACTCAGTGGAAGAGTTATTTAATATATCTTTGCTCCTTTTTGGATTTTGTCACTGTTAGAATGTTTTTTATTCCTTTTTGTCTCTATTAGAATGTTTCTTATGCCATAAATTGAGTTTTTCTTCACCTATGTGGGATCACTCCTACCTCTCTGGAAGACTATTGAGATGGTCTCGTGTTTTGTGACTACTTTCTAATTTTATTGTTTGTGTGTGTCTTGGTGCTCTTTGGTTCTTCTCCTATATGGCTTTATGTGTGCACAGTGACTAGCATGTTGTTGAAAATTTCTGTTTGAAATTTGAGAACAGTATGCTACTGTATTGATTCTTCTGTAATTTGTGCACCTAACCGTCTCTGCCTCAAATATCTGAAATTGCAAAAAATGTGGCTATAACTCGTGGAATGTATAACTTTTGAAGTTTCTTGAACTAATTATCAAGGAGTATCTCTGTTTGTAACCAATTGTACTGTCTGCTACTTGAACTTCCATGAAAATAAACTTTTGGCTATATGCTGGTGTTAATGTGTTCCAAATGGCACTTCATATGATTTTTGTTGTTTGTTCTCTCTCTGTAGCAGTTAAGTTATTCATCGTCTGCATTCATTTGATTTACTTGCAGAGGCTTCAGAGGACATTGCACAGACACGGGCATGATGTTATTAGCATAGTGGCTTCTGAATCAAGAACAACCTGCGAGGTGGTTCTGAAAATCTTGTTGAATTTAAACAGAGATTCCATATCAACTGTGATATGCTTTTGGTTTGCTCAGTCAAATTCAAGATGCTTTTGGTTCGGTACTTGGAGTTAATTTGTCTTTTGTAAATAACTGATATCATATTGTCACTTGAGTAATGAAGATTTATTTTATACCTTGCATGCTACTTTATGATTTTCCTCTGGAAGTTTACAATAATAAGGTTTCTCTGTCCTATGACTGGCGAATTCCCCTTGGTTTTGATTGGTCTTTGGAATACTTCTACTTATTAAATTCATAGTTTGTCAGTTCCTGCTTATAGAAAATTAGCTTGCCATGATCTTATCGAGAGTACGGTTGCTTTAACCAAGGGCGAATCTCCAGGAGGCCTTTTGTTTTACCTATGTATATTGGGTATTGATATAGGTGCTTGGTTGCTGCAGTTGCATGTGTATTGTCTTAGGCTTTGAATCAAGTAATCAAATTGCTAGACATGCTTGTAGGCATTCGAAAGCTGATGCTTGCTTTGTTAGCACTGACCAAGAAAATCAATTCACAATTATGAACTGATGATTTTACTAGCATGTGAATACATTTGGGAAAATTTAGGTGTGGCACCAATAGGCGATAAGATGAGTGTAAGTAGACTTAGGTGGGCTGGCCATGTGTGGCGAAAGGCCAGTACAACACTTGTGAAGAGGTGTGCGTTAGTCTCAAGTGGAAAGCTAAAAAAATGGCAAGAAGTAGGCCCCAAAGGACATAGTTTGAAGTAGTGAGAAAAGATATGGGACTTATGGCCTCACTGAGGGTATGACCCTAAATAGAGCAGAATGGTGGACCAGGATTCATGTAGCTGATCCCAATTAGTTAGGAAAAAGCTTTGACGATGATGATGATGATTTTACTAGTATGTCACGGTCTTGGTGAGTCTCTATACCTTTGGAAGCATGGATGACTCATGGCTAAAGAATTCTCTCTCATGTGAGGTGGTCTGTTATGGGGTGGCATTTCACTTCAGTATGTATAGCTCATTCATGGAATATGATACGAATCTGTTGCAATTTGGATGCCATTAGTGATTTCTATGTGATGGTTTAGGGGGAAGACTTAATAAATACCAAATCTTTCAATAAGCAACCGGTGTACACCTCCACAAAGTATGGTATATGGTCTGGTATGAGCTTTATTATTGGACCTGAGACCACCTTGCTTTGTACATTTCTACAAAATGTTAAAAGCAAGATATGCTGTACCCAGCTAAACCTCCATATATAGGTGTGGGTATCTTTGTGGAGAGGAGGACCAAGTATAGTGCATGGTCCGGGTTCTTTTAGTACTGAATAGCACCTATGTGTGATTGTCATATGCAGGTGAATGAAGTCCTTAATAAACTGACTGACAATGTCAAATGCATGGGTTATACTGAGGTGAGTCATTGTCAAGTGGACTAAACTCCCATCAGCTCTCATTTTTGGCTTGGGGTCCTTATTTGGACCACCGCTGCCTTCACAATTTTTTCCATTCAACTCTAAGAAGTATCAACATCCTGTTTGTGAGATGAGTGAGACCTATGAGCCTGTGTAATAGTCAGCTGGCTTAAGAGGGCTGATGAGCACCAGTCTTATATGTACTTTTGAATTGTGTTTATACCACGTGCACTTGTGCAACTCCATGATTTCCCTCACTGCTCCTTATTATCCTTGTGTAGAACGCATCCCTACTTTGTAAGTAATGATGCCCAACAATGATAAACCAACATGAGTGATGACATGGTCAAACTTTTCAAACCATGCTCTTAGAGCTTGTTTAAGGCCATAGGTGGTTTTGCAAGCAAAACGGTGCTAGGTTGGATGACGCAACATAACTAGGGTGCCGCAGCGGCTCGAGATGGACGGGTGCCTAAGTGCCTTGCCTAGGGCAATGGGTGTCCCCCTAAGCGAGCTAACCTTAGGCGGACGCCTGAAAAAGCGATTCAAAATTTACCTAGTTACTTTTAAACTGGTGATTTTTCCTATCACTCAAATCATGGTTTTAAAATGTGGCCGCATGATGCATTATGTGCTGGGCACCGCATCGCATGAGGCCGCATATGCATTTGGGGAGATGCGCCCGCGTATGCGTTGCATCCCGCATATATCACATAGCCCGCATATGCGGCCAGACAAATCCATGAAGAAAAACCCTTAGAGCAGGGGTATTTTTGACTTTTTGTGGCTCAAAAAAAGGGTTTTTTTTTTTTTTTTTGGAGGGGGTGGGGGAAGGGGTAACCCACTAAAAAGCCAAAAACAGCCACATCCGTGGTTTATTTTGAATCAAATCAATCAAAAAAAAAAGTGGTCGAAAATTATTTTTGTGAAATTATTAGATTTTCGTATTGGTTGATGTTTAGTTGTTGATTTATTTCTTTTGCGTGTTTTTTTTGGGATAACTGTTGACATTTGTATTGATAAAAAGAATGAGAGATACAAGGTTAGTCCAAGGTAGCCTCAGGGCCGAGGCTCCTGGTAAAAAAGAATGGGTCAAAAGACCGTATACAAAATGGGGTTATAAAGAATCCCTTTAATAGTATTCAGCACATGTACAATAAGGAAACGAGAAAGAAAGAGAAAAACAAGTCCCTGGCCGAGAGGGAACCAGTAGAGAGCTGGAAAGGCCCGACCCAGGAAATAAGGCCCTATACTGCATCATCGGCTGCTGCTCCGACTTTGCCAAACAGATCGGCGAACCTGTTCGATGTCCTCGAGATATGAGTCCATGAGACTGGCATGCAAAGATAGTCAATCTCATAAAAAATGGGTGAAAGGTACCAAGGGGGGGACGCAGTCCTGGAAGTCCAAGATATGATGTTTCTTGCGTCGCCCTCTACAAAAAGAGAAAATCCTTAAGATCGATCAAACCTCCTTAAGCCTCTAAGGAGGGCCATTGATTCAGCATACTGCGAGTCTTGGATGTCGAGGTGTTCAGAGTAGGAAAGGAGAATGTTATGATTATGGTCCCTAAAGACCCCTCTTGCCCCAGGGTGCCTGGGTTGCCTAAAGAGCAACCGTCAAAATTTAGTTTGATAGCTCCTTGAGGAGGGGGTTGCCAACGAGGTCTAACTTTGTTTTTCTTCGGGTTGTGTAGGAGGATCAGATCCCAATTGGATAGGAAGGAGTCCATTGCGATGCCGTTGAAAGCGCGGTGTTGAGATGCCTAGAAGGTTACTAAGGAGGTAACCTTAGAGAAGAGTGCGGAAACGGGGTTAACCATTCCTCGAAAGATACGGGCATTTCTTTCAATCCAAATGGTCCAAATAGTAGCAGCCACAGATGCTTTCTAGAGGATTCTACCCGCCTTTGGCCAATGAGCAGCCAGGTTGGGGGCTAGGAGGTCCTTAACCGTTGGGGGTAAAGCCCCATAAGTCAAAATCCACCTTGCAATGTAGAAACATATGGTTGTTAGATTCCTCTTGACACAAACGCATTGTGCACCTATTAGGAAGAGGAAAACCTTTTCTTTGAAGTTGATCCATGGTGAGAGCTTTGCTTGAACCTGCTATCGAATTAAAGGTTTGCACTTTAGGAGGTGAAATGGACTTCCATACCTGAGAGAGGATGGAGGTGGGATTGAGAGGGAAGGTAGGGGGTTGGATGAGCTTTTTGTAGAAGGAAAGCACCGTAAAATTCCCCGAAGGGGTCACCTATTAGGAAGAGGAAAACCTTTTCTTTGAAGTTGATCCATGGTGAGAGCTTTGCTTGAACCTGCTATCCAATTAAAGGTTTGCACTTTAGGAGGTGCAATGGACTTCCATATCTGAGAGAGGATGGAGGTGGGATTGAGAGGGAAGGTAGGGGGTTGGATGAGCTTTTTGTAGAAGGAAAGCGCTGTAAAGTTCCCCGAAGGGGTCAGAAACCACACAAGCTTGTCCCCTCCCTGGGCTGGGATGAAGGTGTTGTAGAGCAGAGATGAGAGAGAGAGAGGAATTGATGAGTTTCATCTTCTAAATAACCCCTCCTAAAGGATGGATGCTAACGCCTTCTGCCCCCTTCCAATCTGAACTCATCCTCAACTGTAGCCTTTCTATTCAACGCTAAAAAGAACAAAGAAGGATAACAATCCTTTAGGGGGGCTTGACCAATCCACAGATCGGTTAAGAAACGAATAATGGAACCACCTCTTGGGAAAAATCTAATGTGTTTCTTGAATAACTCAAGTGTGGTAGATATAGACCTCCACACCCTAGAGGCATTAGGCCATTGTCTGGTCACGGGGTTCCAGGAGTGGACAAGAATATTGTATTTATGTCTTAGAACCTGTGCCCATAAAGATTCAGATTGGGTGGCGAGACGCCACCACCACTCCCCCAAAAGGGCAAGGTTATGTTTTCTTAAATGTCTAATGCCCAATCCCCTCTGGTTGCTTTTGGGTGTTGATTTGAGGAAGTTGTGGCGATGTTTTGACAACAAATCGAGGGTTTCAAGGGCTGAGAAGAAATCAATATTTGCTTCAAGTAATCGGTAAGGTTTTTCAAAAGCGCATGAAACTCAACCCTATTCAATGGTATGAACCTGATGGTGATTGCACAAGTAAGTGGGCCATGGATCCACGAGTAGAGTATGTGTTCGAGGATGCGGATCTTACTTGGCTTGATGTCGAGTTGGCCACAAGGGCTAATGAAGAATGGCCTAACACTACAACACAAAGGAGTAGAGCTGGGTCCAGTTGCACGTTAGATCCAGATGTCGAGGAGGAGGAGGAGGCTGACTTAGAGGAGACCGAGGAAGAAGAACAATACGTGGAGGCCGCCGTGGATGATAGTGATGATGATGATGCACGTGGATACTCTCAAGATAACTTATTTGATTAGGTTTTGAAATTTAGAATCTCAAGACTTGAGAAATGATGATGATTTGTGTTGAGCTTGATTTTTGAACTCTTTAATCTTCATGTATTTTTAGTTTATATTTTCTGACTTTAAAGTTTGTGTTTTACAAATTTGTGATTATGGTTGTTGAATATTTTATATGAAGCTAATTTCAAGTTTCTAGTTTATGTCAGGGAATAGTGGATACAAAATCTCTGACAGCTGATACTTTTGGAGTTAATGAATAAATTAAATACTTACTATCACATAAATCACCTCCATATGTTTTATGCATTAACCTATGTTTTTAGAATTTTTAGAATTTATTTATATTTATTGATTGCATCGTCGTGATGCACTCGCATTTGGACTTCATCAAGCTGCATCGTCGCATCGGCGCCCCCAACGCATCAGGCTGCATTGCCGCAGCGGTGCCCCCAACGCATCAGGCTGCATTGCCGCAGCGGTGCCCCCAACGCATCGGGCCGCATCCCATATTTTAAAACACTGACTCTTTATCATCATCAGAGCCTTTCCTATCACTGAAGTTCTTAATCTTTAATTGATTATACATGTATTTTATATAAAATCCCTAATTTATTTGTTTATTAAATGCATTATATGTTATTATGTAATATATATGCACATATATATGTATGTTCTATTAAATATTTATGCGTCTGTTCATTTATATATGTTGTATTTACTATATACAAATATACATATGCATAGGTGTAATGCTGGGGCATCTCAAGATCGAGGGGCCCACTTAGGCATCCTCGAGCTACCTTGCCCCTTGGGATGACTTATACATGGATATTGAGACATTTAAATGTTTTGAATTAAGCCTCTACGGAGAAAGGGGTATTTCATAACCATAAAAGATATTTGATATGTTTGGAAATCAGTGCGGAGTGCCATGAGTGTGCATCGTTCTCAGATATGCTCTCTTTCGGCTCAAAGAGCTTGAAATCTGCAGCCTGGGCGTTGATCTGAAGTGCTATAAATACTGAATTATGATAAAATTCACATCGAGTTTTTAAACAGCTTTACAAAAACTCACTTGGTTTGTAGTTATACAAATCTGGCCAAGTTTTTACCGATATAATAAGGTCTATAGTTGTGAAAGTTCTATGGGATATTAAGATATTTCATTTGTGTATGGAGATGAACATCTGATTTTAAGATTTTATGCCATTTAAGGAAACTTTGTATTGTAAAACTAAATTTAGGGTCCGTTTGCCCGTGCAGATCTGCACTGCACAGAGTGGGCATATCCAAATAAGAAGCAAAATCGATTTTTGAAGAAATGGCGTCCTTACAACTCCCATTTTTCTGCGTGAAACTATCAGAATACCATAGCTATCTGCTGTTAAAAATGTAGCAAACTAATGAGGAAAAATGAATGTTATGTGACTTTCGCATCAGTGAATTATTTGCACGTCCAAGGAGGCCTTAGGGATTTAAAGACCTATTTACGAGGATCAAACCTACTATTTTGGGGTTTCTTTTCTTTTTACAACTAAATAAATTACATGATTGATGGGGCCCTCAATGTACATGTAAGTTATAAAAAATGGTGAGTGCTATTCAAGGCAAGTCATTGTGGGCGAGTAATGAAAATTAAGGAAATTCCTATTCATCCTTTTGATCATTGGTACTTTGCTATAAAGGACAGCATATCCACAATCAATCTCCTTAAATTGAGTCCTTAAAAATTATTTTCATTCAAGTATTAAAACATCCCCATGAAAAATACTAAGACGTATGTCTTGGCTTGTTGTTAGTTTTTTTTCCTTCCCTTTTTATAGAATACCCTGACTTCCTTTTGTTCAGCAGACACACAACGAAGTGCTTCTCTTCCTTGGTCAAACAAATGCAGGTCATCTAATCTGATATATTGGTGTAGATGGTGGTTATCTCAGCAACTAGAACTAGATTACATATCTTATAGTCCCTTTCGTATTCTCACATATGCTCTTGAGCAACTATTTGTTCTTTATTTTTGTTGAGTTGAACTCATAATTAATTGTGTATCTATCCTTCTGCAATTGATGACCAGAATTCTAAGCCAAAGAGGTACTAATTCCCATATAGGGTCATCCAATAGTGTCTTAACTCTATGTATGTTTTGTTTCTCTAGCTTTAAGAGTCAATAACTTGGTTGTATCATCATCCTCAGAGCATTATCCTAACTATTTGGGAATGACTATATGAATCCTGTTATGCCATTCTACTCTATTAGGGACTAGTATGATCATAAGTCCCTATATCGTTTTTCACTACTTTCATCCATGTCCTTTTGTGCCTTCTCCTTGCCCTTTTAGAGCCTTTCACTTGAAGCAAATTACACGTCCTAACCGATTTTGTATTGGGTCTATGCTGCACATGGCCCACCCACTTAAGTTTACTTTTCTTCATCTTATTGCCTATTGAAGCCATATCTAAGTTCCCTCGAATGTATTTATCTCAAATTTTGTCATTTTTTATCTTGCCCCTCGTCCATCTCAACATCCTCATCTTAGCTACACTCATCCTATAGGTATGCTGTTTCTTAACCGTCCTATATTCTGTCCCATAGAGCGAAGCTGGTCTCCTAGCTGTCCTATAGAGCTTCCTTTTCAGCTTCATTGGTATGCAATGATCATATAAAACTCTAGATGCACTTCTCCACTTCGCCCACCTGCCTTTAATTTTATGTGCAACATCTTCCTCAATCTCGCCATTTTCTCAGATTATCAACCTGAGATGTCGAAAATAATCTCTTTTGGGTATGGTTATATGATTTGTAAAATAACTCCAAAGTTGCTAGGAAGATTGGGCATTTTTAGAGGACAATGAAAAATTGTATCTTTTGAGCATTGTTTGTTACTATTGATTTTTAATTAAGAGTGGGAAGAATGGTGGGACCTCCTTGGATTACATCTAGACACCTGAGAAAGTGAGGTAGAGGTAATTGCATTGGTTGAGAAGGTGATTATTGTTCATACTTCATAGCTAGAGTTAGATGGGAGTAAGGATTAGTTTTCTCCAAAGACCAGGTATCTTGTGGAGGATTTGTTAATCACAAGATGGATCCAGAAGGGGAAATTTGATGTTGTAGATTTTTATGCAGGTAGACATCGTCAGAATGTTAAGGAGTGTTTTATATTTACAATTATGCATGTGGGGTGCAGACAAGACACCCTTGATTAGGTCATCAAATGAGATATTGTTTTGTGCGGAGCTATGTGCTTTTTAAGGAGCATATTTCAAAGTTTGGCATATGACTTTGGTTGAGAATGCTGAGGGGTTTTGTCCCCAAGAAGTGTTCATGAAGTTTCCAGGACAATATTATATTTTTTGAGTGTTGGCAACTCCTTTTCAATATTATATTCTTTCGAGTGTTGATTTTGCAGCTGCAATTTGGGGTGTACTTGAGCTTGGGATATTTTATTTTGCACATTAGCTTCTTCTGAAATATTATTTTAAGTCTATGGTACTCATGGGTTATTTTCTACATTACTCTATCTAATTCTGTGGGCATCTTTGAAGAGTTTCATTGGGAATTGTGGGTAACAGCTAGAAGTAACTATTACCCACAATGGTTTTTCTGTAAGTGGGTGAAAAGTAGTGGGAAATGATGTGATGAAAGACTCCAGTTATATCCCAACTTCATGCATATTTATGTTTTACATTGTGTGAAGTTGCTGACATGATACTTGTAATTTATTGTTTGTAATCCATAAGTTGCAAGCTTCGTAATAGAGTAAACTGTCAAACTGTGGTAGCCAATCTTTGTGGTCTCCTTCTGTTTCACTTGATATGGTTTCTTATGTTTTGCTTTAAATGAAGTGTGTAAGCATCAGGTTTTACAATTTCAGGTTCTATTTGGAAGTAGGGGCTTGCTGAGTTCAAACTCCTTGGAACAACGTGCTGCATTAAGTACCCTATCAACTTTGATGTCTTTGATACCCAAGGACATCTTTCTGGAATTTGAGAAGGTCAAAGATACTCATTGGCTATCCTGGTGTAAATTCAATCTTATTTATTCTGCTTATTCACGCTGCACATCTTTATTTTTATTTTATGTTTTGCAGCTTCTAAAGAATCTTCCTGAGAGAGGTCTGCACGATGCACTTTCTGAGAATGATGTCAAGGTGAAGAAAGTTAGGAGATTGTCATGCATCATAAAATTTTCCCTTTAGATCTATTTGCTTTGCTATCATGATTCTCAATGTTCTCAAGGCATCCTTGTCATGTATATACTATTAAAATTTAGGGTTTTAGTTGCAAAAACAATCGCAAGAGATCACTAATTTAATGCCTAAATAGTTTGGCTTCTAGTGATTATAATTACCCATCAGAGCATGTACCGGAACCTATTGGAGGGGTAATTTTCAAATTTGTCCCTCTGCCATAGAACAAATACGAAAGGATTTTTGGATGAATTCATAGCTTTTTCTTGTAGAGGGGAAATATTGGACATTGCTAGCTTCTGATATGCTTAGATGGCGGTTTGAATTAAGTAGTAAGTGTTATTTTACAATTTAACAAAATCGAAACAAAAAATTCAATATGGAGACCCCGTACAAAGTCAAATGAACATTCTACCTATCAGATGACAATTAGAAGTTCAACTGTTTTGACCAAAGCAACAAGAAAATATCACTAAGTAGCCACTTATATAAAATGCTAATGCAATGTGAAAGAATGAAATTTGCTGTATACCATATATCTGAATTCTAACTTGGTTTTTGTAACATGGATCCCTATTCTGTGCTTTCTGATCTTGGCTATGTTTTGGATATGATTTTCTACTCATTAAATCTTTTAATGAGGGTTGCTTCTGAATTCTTGTTTTATCATCTATTGTATGATTCCAGATTTTTTACACTTCCGAAGGAATGCTCTCCACTGAGCAAGGTGTTTATGTTGCGGAGACTCTTACCACGAATGGAACAAAAGTAATTTTCTTCATCACATCCCAGTTTGAAGTGTATTTAAATTATAGACCCGGTATTTATGAGTCCCCCGACTCGTACTATTTTCATGTGGGCTCCCTTGAACAACCATGATCTTGGATCCAAATTTGTAGTGATCCATAATCTACACTATGATGATCATTAATATACAAAATAAAATATGATAAAATAAAAATTTAAAACATCTTTATTAGAAGTTTTTCCTATCCATTGGATAGAAATTTTTAGTTGTGGATGTTCATCTTAAGGCTCGTTTGTGATTGTGCGGGCTAGTGAGTCCCCCAACTCAAAAAATACTTTTCCTTATATTATTATCTTGATAATTTCTGTCTATAACATGATATTGTTGCAAGTTGTTGGCATGTTAGTGGTGTATGTTCAAACAGTGTTAAAAAGCTTCTGGACAAGGACTTACTTGCCCCCTAGTTGTCTTCACCCAGTCTGTCACTGAGGTTTTATTCAAGAGTTATGGTTCATGAACTAAGGAAAAACTCTTGTAGGAGCACATATACCACGCTTCTACGGGAGCGTAGTATGTGTTTTCCGTGGGACTAAACAGATAGTATACTCCCGAGGGAGTAGGAAATCTTTTAGCTTTTTTTAAACCTAGTCATGTTTCACTGAGTTTTTGTGGTATTTTTCACATAAACGGGGTTCAGAAAGAGAGTGAGATCTTCTGTCATAGTGTTTCTTTTTGAAATTGACCTGCTGTGATAGTGTTCCATAGCAAGTATGGTAGAGTATGACTTCCATTCATGCTTAGTGGTCTAGCCAAACATTTCCTTAAGTGACTGTAAATTTTTCTTTTCTGACCCCCTGAGCTGACTTGGGACTGGGCCATGTTCTATGTTGACTTTAAATTTCAAAACTTTTGTGCTGTTAAATTCCCAAATGTGCCTCTTCCCTTGGCAATATAAGCCGGTCAATGATGACTCTCATGGTCTTGTTCCGTCATTCATTTTCAGGAAAACGTGAAATCTAGCCAACCTGGAAGGAAAGATCCAAATAAGAGAGATGCTACCAGCATGGGTAGAAAGGATTCCATGAAGGCGACAAAAAGAAATGGCATGTTCAATCTCATTTTCTCATGTTGACCTTTCTACTCTTTGTGCGATGCCGTATTGAATTGTTTTCTTTATCTGTTTCAATATAGTTGTTGGAGACAAGGGCAAGACTCCAAAGGAAGAGGCACGTGAATTGCAGCTTAAGGAAGAAGCCTCTGTCCGGGAGAAGGTTATGGTTGTACAGAAGATTCTCTCAGTTTTTCTTGGTGCTCTGGGGGAAATGGCCATAGCTAACCCTGTATTTACACATGGTCAATTGCCCTCATTGGTAAGTAATTAACCTTAACGTTGTATGATCATATAGAATATTTATTCTTGCTGCTCTGACATAATGCCTGACAGTTGTGGGAAGTGATAGTGCGAATACTATAACTTATTAGACTTATTTCTGCAGATCATAATTCATACACATAATTTGTTGTGATTACAGGTAGCATTTGTAAATCCATTACTGAATTCACCAATAGTAAGCGATGTTGCATTCGAAACCATGTTGAAGCTTGCTAGATGCATTGCCCCTCCTTTGGATCAATGGGCTCCTGAAATTGCTGCAGCATATCGGATAATCACTACTCAGCAAGTGCTTGTTTTGAAAGAAGCTCTTCTGAAGGTTGAAGTTGAAGTAAAACAGGAAAGGTCAATGGGTGTGTTCCAGCGCATAGTAGCAGGTCTGGTGGTATCTTGTAACACTGGACCTCTTCCAGCAGATTCCTTCACGTTTATTTTCCCGGTACATTCTTATGCTTTCTACAAAGTTTCTTGTTTGAGATGCGTTACACTGTTGTAGTTATCCCACTTCTATACTCTTTATATGTCTCTCTTTTTAGGGAATAAAATGCTAGAGTTTAATGTGCTATGTAAAATACTAGTCCGTTAGTCATCACCATCCAATGAACGATGATTATCTTTGAGGGGGACATGCCGTAACAGGTGTGACCCAAATGGTAGGTGAGAGGTCCACTCTCTTTCCATGATCATCATTTCATTAGATGGTGATGTCCCAGTGGAATATGGTTT